TTTTTATACATTTTTTTTTTCAACGTTTATTTATTTTTGGGACACAGAGAGACAGAGCATGAACGGGGGAGGGGCAGAGAGAGAGGGAGACACAGAATCGGAAACAGGCTCCAGGCTCTGAGCCATCAGCCCAGAGCCTGACGCGGGGCTCGAACTCACAGACCGCGAGATCGTGACCTGGCTGAAGTCGGACGCTTAACCGACTGCGCCACCCAGGCGCCCCTCATTATTACTTTTTTTAATGTTTATTTACTTTTGAGAGAGAGATGGGGCGTCAGAGTGGGGGAGGGGCCGAAAGAGAGGGAGACAGAATCCGAAGCAGGCTCCAGGCTTCGAGCTGTCAGCACAGAGCCCGATGCGGGGCTCGAACCCACAAACTGTGAGATCATGACCTGAGCCGAAGTCAGACGCTCAAGCAACTGAGCCACCCAGGTGCCCCTGGATGCCATTGTTAATGCCCCCAGCCAAGATTTGTGTTGATAACAATAAAAAATTCAAGGAAGACAACTCCTCTGGCTTCTCTGAGTGAAATTTTTGCTGCTACTGAGTTTCCTAAAGGGAAGTCACCCTCAGTTCGGAAGACGCAAGGTATGCAGATCCAACCTTGAAACCAATAGAAAATACTTTTGATGGTATAGCTTAGCTTCAAAAAAGTGCCGTTCAGATATTGACACCCACTTTGTTTCTCTTAAGCCTTGAGCCGCCAGCTGAGTTTGTGACCGAGGACGGCCGATGGTGCCAAGCAGCTCAGCAGCAGCCAACTGGGCAGCAGTCTGACAGCAGCAGGGTTCTGTCCGGAAACCTTCAACTTTTGAGTCTCCAGTCTCTGCCTCCCCACCCCTATTCTCCTGCGTGGCTCACATTTCTTTCCTCCCTTCGAGTTATTTTCCCTAAGGAAACTTAAACCACATCTCTTTCCCCTTCTTATAGATGCGAACTACACGCAAGGTCTCTGTCTGGCCAGTGGGCCTGGTTGGCGGGCGACGCTATGAACGTCCGTTGGTGGAAAACGGCAAAGTCGTTGGTTGGTACACCGGCTGGAGAGCAGACAGGCCTTTTGCCATCGACATGGCAGGTGAGGAGTGTGGATGGTGACGCTTGCTCCTCCCTGATCATTCTTGCCGGTGCCGCTGTTTATAACCGTGTCCTGGAGGAAGGAAGCTTTGAAAGACCACTTCGGTTAAAACCCCAGATCGTATTCTATTCAGCAGATGAACTATCTGAGTAAACTTTCAAGACAGGCGTTTTGATTAATTGAAGCAGAAATGGGTTTTGTGGGCAATTGGAAAATGCTCATTCTGTCCCATTTTTGTCAGCTGTGCAGCTGTCCCTTCGTCCAACAAATGTTTGTGCCTTTGCTGGGCTGGGTGTCAGGTCAGTGGTGAGACCTAGGCTGGGCCACTACCTGTACCTTTCAGTGCTAACTAATGCCAGTTAGTGTCAGTACCTCATGTGCTTACTGATAAATGTAACAGTGATGTGAAATTCACAAGCTAATCCTTGTCATGCTTATTGATAAATTTGGTAGTTACTGATACATTTAATAGCTGGAACATAAAATTGGATTGCTGGCTTTTCAAACACTTATTAACTGAGCATAACTGTCTTTTAAAGTTTTATTCTCTGACCGGCCAACTGAATTAAGACCTGTAGTAGTCGACAAGTCCTAAAGTGCTATGTTACCATAAAGTGACTCAATTTCTGTGGGTTATATAAAATGATGCCTCTGGTAACTGGAAGGATGCAGTTTAAAACATGAGGCGTAGAGGCAAGATTCATCACTGACATCTAACCTAGAAGATGGAGGCAGAAAAGCTTCAAAATTAATCCCATCAATCTTCAGCTCTGGAACACAGCTCTGTCTGTCTGTCCCCCTGTGCTTAGCCGGTCTTTTGTGTGTATTTCCCAAATGCAGTCGAGACCTCCACGCTCACAATGCCGATGGGATGAGGGCTGTGTTCTGAACTGGATTCATCATTTTTATTCTGACGACACTATAAAATTGAGGGAGCAAGATCATGAAGGATACCAGGAGTAAGAGTTATTGGGGAAAGTTCTTGCGTATGGCACGGTGGCAGCTTTGTCACGGGAGGTGACAAACTAGGATATTTTTACTCCGCATTTAACAAACATTTCCTGAGGGCCAGTTTTGTGTAAATGTGTGCCATGGTCTCAGACCCCAAGGACAGCTTGGAGTTCTTACCCTTCCCTCGTCACCCTGTCCCGGGCTCCCCTCTCCAGCCCTGGCCTTGCCCTTTGGTCTTCAGTTCTTGCAGCCTGGGAGCTGAGCTGGCCTCTCAGCCAAAGCATTTTCCTGAAGACAGATGGAGAGTAGGTCAGCCATATTTAGAAGGTCCTGAGAATTCCCAAAAGAGGCCTTTCCTCAGGCAAGTGTGAGTTCGTGGCTCTGAAAAGAGAAGGCTGACCATAATGTGTCTTCTGAGAATCTGGTCTCTTGCTGATAAGAAGTGTAACTTTGCCTAGTGTTCTCTAAGTTTTCTGCTCAAGTCTTTTGCTTCCCTGGGACTTAGTTTCCCTGCGTGTGGAATGAGATGTAGCATGAATGACCGCTGAGGTCTTTGTTAATGTACTCTTCCTTCTCCTGGCTTCCATCAAAGAGCTCAGAGAGAAGCCTGGGCCCCTGGATTCTAAGTGAGGGTTCATGGCTGCTAAAGCAGCCTGCTGACAGGTGTTTGGTCCTTACTTTTCCCAGAGCCTTGCTTCACCACAGGCTGGGCAGACCTGTCCCCTAACACACAAGATCTCTGTTTATAACCCTGCATGGTAACTTCAAGGTGAGGGCAACTTGGGTAAGTCTTCCTGGATTTTGTTATAAGAACTTTACATAGATGAACAAGTATCCAGTAGACCCACTGAACATCTGCATTGATTCCCCTCAGAATTTGGATCCAAATAGATATATTTAAAATTCAAGAAAGGCGCATGGGATTTATACATTAGGCCTGGCCTGTGACAAACTATTTGATACCTTTTCACTGCTCTGGGAGACTTTGCTCCATGACATGACTGATGTTTGGCTTTTTCTAAGCATTTCAGTATATTTTCAAAGCATCATATAAGAAGTATCATAAAATATGAATGATTTGCATGTTTCCTAATTATCCTTGTTTCAAAATAGGAATAAGATTTCTGTCTCGAAGAAAACAACTTTTGCCACACTAAATTTTCTTCATACGTGAACTTGCTTTGCAAATTAGTTTTCAGTAAATTATTAGTATTTTTGGACGCCTTAAGGGAGTGTGATTTAGTTGATAGTATAATAATTCTGATTTGGAGGGAGTTCTCATTTTAAAACTTGAAAATTCACAGCTTCGTTTGCATTTCACTTAAGATTCATGTACTCTCTGTGGGAAGAGGGAAAAGACCTTTTGGACCTTCATGTACAAATGGTGCTTCCCACTTCATTTCTGAGTTGTAAGCGCTCACAGTCTAGAAGGAGAGAGAAGCAGGAAGCCCAGTTTCCTGCTGCACTCTAGAAGGTCAGGGAAGTCCTGTAGAAAATGGTCTGTGGTGGCTGAGGGAAAGGACAGCGCTGGAGCCTGGGTCCCTCCTGGATTTTCACAAACTGATTAAGAATTGAAACTTAACCAACAGGGAACATTTCCCCAACTGTCTTGCTTTGAGGGGTGAGCACATTTGTAGAAGCCCCTCAGGGTCTGTCCTGCCTATATTTCTGGGAAGTCACAGCATTGCCCACCACGAGAAGTTTATTTGAGTATCAGACATCGGAACTGTAAGTTTTCATGTCATTCAGGGAGACAGATTCGGTGTCTGTCTTTATTTTGCCGTTTTGGACTTCATAGTTGCTATTTTTGCTCCCAGATGAGGAAACGTAGTTTTGGAATTACATGTACGATGTTAATAGAGAAGTAAAGATTATTTCTATTGCCCTGGGGAATAGTTAAAAAAAAAAAAAAAAAAAAACAACTTGGTAATGATTGCTACTGAAAAACAAAAAACAAAAAAGTTGAAGAGCCACCCACAAGGTGGAACAGCATGTTGGAGGCAGTCCTTGCCCTGGAAGCCGCACGCAGATGGCTTCTGCAGTGGGTTAGGGGCCACGTTGCTCTGCCAAGCCTGTGAAACCTAGAATATGTCTGCTTGTCTGAGCCTCGGGCTCAGCTCCTGCACCTCGGGCATCTGACCACGGGCTGGTTCTTACACGAAAGGCAAGGCAGCCCACACAGAGGTTTTAGCTCTTTTTTGAAGTCAGGGAGTTACTTTCAAGTGACAGACCGACATTGGCCACTTCCAGGGACGTGTCAATAAGAGCCATTGCCTGAAAGAACTGAGCTTAAAGTAATCTCGAGCCTTGCCAGGAGGTGTAGACTTGTTCAAATTCAGAACTTAAGGCTGAGATTCGTTTTGAATTCTCAACGTGTGCATGCACTTCATGCTTAACTCTGAGAGGTGGCAGGCGGGCACTGTGCTCCTTTGATGAGAGTATATTCCGTTCCCAGTTGAGTGCCTGGCATGCAGTAGGGACTCTATTCCGGTAAAAATCCAGCCATGTGCGCTGTTTTTCAGCTTCACCACTCACCACCCAGAGTTAGCTCCGACCCCACACAGTTGCCCTTACTTAACCAGCAACACTCTGGGGGTCCCCAGGACAACTGCACTCCTGACTGACTATAAATTTGTTTTTCTCTCAGGTTTGCCGATTTACTAGAAGGGCTCCTAGAATTCAGGATCGTGCTCTATTTCTACCACAGTCTTATTACAGAAGATACAAATTAGGACCAGCCACATGAAGAGACACATGGGGTGAAGTCTGGCAGAGAACGTAGAGTTTCTGTGCCTTTTCCTTGTGGAATCAGGATGTATCCCCCTCCCAGCACATGAATGTGTGCACAGCTTGGGAAGCTCCACTGAACCTGTGTGTTCAGAGTATTTAGTTGGAGTTTCATTATGTAGACATGATTGATTGGATCAGTGGCCACCACACAATTGAACTCCGTCTCTAGCTTCTGTCCCCAGAGGTCGGCAGTGTGGCCCAACTTTCCAACCTTCTGATTGTGTATTGGGTTTCTCCAGTAACCAGCCCCCACTCCGGAGCTGTCCAGGGACCCACAGCAGCCACCTCATTAGCATAACAAAGTCACTCCCAACACTCAGGAAACGCTAAGGCTTTTATAAGCTGCACGATGAGAACTAGGCACAAAGACCAGATCGATTTTTTTTTTCTATCATCCCACAAGCTCAAAAAGGATAACTTTCATAGCATAAAGAAGAGTGTGTACCACATCTCTGTTTTCCTAATGCTTTCATCTACAAAAGCAAAGGGTACATTAGGTGGTGTCTCAGGGTCACTTACAGTTTCCTCTGTGGATGATTTCATGCCTCCTAAAAACGAGATGTGATTGTGAAGTGATACAATAGCTTCTCCCATATGCATTACAGAGAGGGATGAGAAGTCTAGGAGGACTGTCAGTTTCCTAGCCTGGAGTCCTGTGGACATGGGTGTGTTGAAGTTCTGGATTAGATGAGCACCCATGGGTGACATCCCAGGGAGCAGTCATTTAAAGTGGCTGTAAGGGGGCGCCTGGGTGGCGCAGTCGGTTAAGCGTCCGACTTCAGCCAGGTCACGATCTCGCGGTCCGTGAGTTCAGCCCGCCAAAGCCGGGCTCTGGCTGAGCCGGGCTCAGAGCCTGGAGCCTGTTTCCTCCGACATTCCCAGGCCCCTCTGCCCCCCCCCCCCCCCGTTCATGCTCTGTCTCTGTCCCAAAAAAAAATAAACGTTGAAAAAAAAATTAAAAAAAAAAAATAAAATAAAAAAAAATAAAGTGGCTGTAGGGGGGTGGAGGCCAGGGAAGGGAGCAGGGCCCATCCTGAGGGTGGGGAGGTGGACCAGTGGCAGCAGTCACCAGTGGGAAGAGGTGGATGAGTCCTGAATTTGATTGTTGGATGCCTTGTGTCATGGATGTGAAAGAGGAGGGTGCTTGGTGATTGTGAGAATGTGAGAGCCAGAAGCACATAGATGGTGTCATGGAGATGGTTGGTAGCAATTAGGACCTTGTAGGCTGTTCCCTGGAACAGGGGATATATGGGAGAATA